GTAACTTGTAGAGACTTCTAAAAAGTCTCAATTGAATACCTCATGACTTTCAGAGACTTTTAAAAAGTCTCTAAAAGTCTCAATTGAATACGCCTAAATTTTTAGAGAGTATCTAAAAGTCCCAATTAAATACACCTAAATTTTGTAAGTCTCCAAAAGTCTCTAAAAGTCTCAATTAAATACACTCCCCTTAATGTCAAGTTCAACAAATGAAAAATTAAGAAAAAAATTATAACAAAAACTAGAAATTAAACGAAAAATTATTCCAAATTGAAAACGAAAAATGAATGCCAAAAGAAGCAGACATGATTAGATAGAACTAGCAGAAATAGAAAACATTTTTAATCTAAAATTATGGATACATGTTTTCTTAAAGTTCTCACATATACAATAAAAAGATTTAAATAAAAAAAAAAATCGTTCATTTTCAATGCTTCCAACATATGCTCTAACAGGCTAACACTATAGAGATATTGATAGAAAAACAGAAAATTCATTTCTCCAATATAACCATCCATGTTGAAATCAATGAGAACACTAAATAAAAGTGGAAGCGTACTTTGATCCATAGATTTCTGATTGTTTGCCTGAATAGATTAGATATTCCAAAGTGATTTGTGGCATTCTCTTGATTTTTCTCTCTATTGATGGGGATGTAGAGAAGATGATCAAACACACTACCATTGGGGATGATGACCCCTATAATAATATTAAAATAATGAATGGTCATTATCTTTCATTTGATTCAAATTGACCCCTCGTGAATTTAAAACAAATTTTCGGTCTCTACACTTTAATTCTATGAAACATAATATACATTAGTCAAAATTCATCTTTAGTGGATCACTTTAATTAACTAATTTTCTTTAAATAATAGCACCATACATTTTAATATATTACGTGTGGCCCCAAATATGTTAGAATTTTCCAACAATGTCCCACTAGGCCATATATGTAATCTTTCAAATGTGCACAACCTTATAAGCTAAAATTTTGCTATCATTATTATATGTATTTCAAACAATCTCGTCCATCGGTCATATTGATATAGAATCAAAGCGATTTTCGTCACATTTAACGTGATTAAATCCATCAATGGTCACATACACCCATAGAACTAAATGACATAGACCAAACATGAGAGTGTAGCATGGAAATTATATGTTATCTGATCCAAACATGTCTATTTCCAACTGGTGCAACCTTATTTCTTAAGTGGGATCAACCATAAACTTTAATCAGAG